GGTAAAATGAGGAGCCAGATTGTTGGGGGCAATATCCTGACTCTGTAAACCGCTTAGAGAGGGCTGTAAAGCATTGTGAAGCTGTATAAAAGTAAGTGCTATTGCTATTTCTAAATGAATATTAGATTAATAAAACTAGTTAATAAAACTAAAACTAAATAATACAGTTATTTAGAACCAGTATCCTAAATGTGCTAGTTGGCTAAACAAGAAAAAGGATATACATTTTGTACCATGCGAACCTCTCAAGGGCCATTTTGCGGAGGGATTTCAGGTATAAAAAGTTAGAGGCATATTATGGCCCCATTGTGCCCCTTAACACTACACACACAAGCTGTAAACTAATTTTCTTTGCCCTCTCTTTTCTGAAACCACAAAAGAGCTCTTAAGTATATTTTCTGTGCCTTTTGTATCAGATAATTCCAGACAAACAAAACTTCAAATACTTATTTCAGAGCTTGACTCATAAAATAGATGTCTCACCAGGCTCAAGGTTGACTCAGCCTTCTATCCTCCAGAGGTCGGTAAAATGAGGACCCAGATTGTTGGGGAAAATATGCTGACTCTGTAAACTGCTTAGAGAGGGCTGTAAAACACTGTGAAGCAGTATATAAGTCTAATTGCTATTGCTCTATTAATAGCACAGCTACAGTATGTGTGTGCAAATCCTTTTTCAAACAAGCATACTATAAATTGATCAAAGTACTGTCCTTATCTTGATCAATTTATAGTATCCAAGCAGGGAAATATTTGAAGAAAGTATGAACTTATTGTCTGTGATAAATAACTACCGTAGTCACTTTATGCAATAAAATTGCTGTTTTCGTATTGTATGAAAACTATTTGTCTGGCAATTTAAATTACTATTTGTGATAACAGTACTCAAAATCCTCACTGAACCTCCTAATTCTTGTATTACTACTAGTAGAATTTAGATATAAGGGAATGTAAAAACAGTGCTTGTAGGAAATATCAATAGGAGTTGAAGCCCATAGAACAGTGTTTCTCAACCTTGGCAACTTGAAGATGTCCGGACTTCAACTCCCAGAATTCCCCAGCCAGCGAATGCTGGCTGGGGTATTTTGGGAGTTTAAAGCCGGACATCTTCAAGTTGCCAAGGTTGAGAAACACTGGCATAGAATGATAGGGCTGGGAGGGAGTTTGGAGGTCTTTTAGTTCAACCCCCTGCTCAGACAGGATACCATTTATCATTCTAGTTGGCTGTCCAGTCTCTCTTGAAAACCTCCAGGATTGGAGCACCCGCAACTTCTAGTGGCAGGCCATTCCACTGATTTAATTATCCTCATTGTCAGGAAATTTAATTATCCTCAT